TCTCTCTCTCTCTCTCTCTCTCTCTCTCTCTCTCTCGTAGGCTGCTGATGCAGTGAAGTCAGGTAGCGAGAGGGTGAGAGGGAGATGGTGGACTGAGAAGAGGAAGAAGAAGAACTCTCTCTCTCTCTCTCTCTTTCACGTGCCAGGTACTAACCTGTGAAGATGGCGCTGTGCTGCAGGTACCTCGAAGACGAAGCTGGAGCAACGGCGCTGCAAGTCTCCCTGGCCTCCGCCCAATCTCTCTCTCTCTCTAGTACTGCTCTAGCTCCTATGGCGCCCAGCGCTGAAGACTACTGCTAATGCTACTAGCGCCCAACGCTGAAGATTACTGCTAATGCTACTAGCGCCCAGCGCTGAAGACTACTGCTAGCGCTACCACTACTACTGCAGCGCTCCTCCAGAGTGTTGCTGCCGAATCCTGAAGACTACCTCCTGCCTCCTGAACTGCACGCGAAGTGTCTGGGAAGTACCTAGGAACTACCTACCGGCCTGCAGGGCGGGCCAGTCCTATATAGTGCTGGCCCGTCCAGGAGGCTGCTCTTGCCAATGCCGAAACGTGCCGGACCCTGGCGTTGAAGCTCAACCAGGGGTTGTCTTGAAAACAGGCCCGAAATGGCCTATGCTAAAACCTTGGTTTGTTGCCTGAGGTTCAGGGCGGGTCGAACTGATGAGGGCCTGAAAATGGTCCTCAGTTTCAGGCTGAAAACACTCAGGGCCGGAAAGGCCCTGATTTAGCCTGAAACGACACAGGGCCTGTAGGTCCTTGTTTTCAGGCTTTCAGGCTGAAACGACACGGGGCCTGTAGGCCCTTGTTTTCAGGTTTTTTGCCTGAAAACGTCACGGGCCTGAAAGGGGCCCGTGCAGCCTGTTGCGGGCGCAGCATGTAGCACTACTCCCTCAGAGCTATCACTAAGAAGCTCCTAGCACTACCTCAGTGACTGCCTGAAGAACTCCCTACACTACCTCCAAAACTACCTGCCTAGAAATGAGGTCGACCCAGCTATATATACATGGGGCCTAGTGTCCTAGACCGAGAGGAAACTGTCTGATCGAAGGGAAAACTGGTCTGGAGTCAAGAACAGAAGTCTGTTCTGCCGCCAAAAACGAAAAATGGTAAAAAGTAGGGGCCAGGTGAAAATGCCAAAAGTCTGGCGCCCATTTGCAGAAAGTAGGAACCAGGCAAAAATACGAGAAGTCTGGCGCCAATTTGCAGAGGTCTGATCAATGCCAAAAGTAGGAACCTGGTTTTGCAAAGATCTGGTCGATGCCAACAGTGGGAACCTCAGGCTGGTGAGAAGATGGCAAAATGAGATAGCGGCCTACTGGGTCCTACGGGTGACACAGACCCTAAACCCTACGGAACCCCTAACCCTACTGTTGGGCCTTGCGGGTCCCGTGTGGATCTGAGTATGCCACCCCCCTCCTCCTTGAAAGACTGAGCTTACCTGCGAGGGCAAAGCTGTCTGTCGGAGGGAGGGACCGAGGTCCGGGTGGGAGGGGCAGATTGTGGCTAGTCGTTGCTTCTCGTAATTTCCAAAGATAAGCGGTGAGGAAGCTTGCGAGTCTGCTCATGATATCCACCGTGTGTCGTCGGGGTCGCACTATTTGAAGGTGACCTTGCACTGCATTGGCTCATTGCCATGCTCGCGGTGCATGACGACCCGATCGACTTCCTGGTGACCATCCATAGAAGGAGGGTCTTGCGATCGCCGGCCTGCGAAGTCGTCGCTCTTGGCTGGTGTGTATGTAGGCAGCTTGGAGGCGTGGAAGACCGGGTGGACCGGTAAATGCCGCGGGGATGTCAATCACGAACGATGGGCCATCGGGCTCGTCGCCCGCGGCCGATGCGACGGTCCATGGTCCAAACCACTTGGGGAGGAGTTTGCACGAGAAATCTTGTTCAAGTGCGAACTCCTCGGAGGAAACCCATACAAGGTCGCATGCGCGTATAGGACATGGCACGTGATGCCGATTAGCTTGCTGCTGCATGCGGACTTGAGCCTTTTGCATGTTTACGCGGGCTTTCGCCAGCAAGTCGCAGTACTTCCGAACGGAGGCGGGAGAGCAAGGGGCATCAATGTAGGCTGCCCGGGGGAATAAAAGATCTGCGAAGATACGACCTTTCCGGCCACATGGTGCAAGTCGAAGGGAGTTACTCCAATCTCCAGATGCAACAAAGTGTTTTAGGCAAATTCGATGTCGGGGAGGCTGTCAACCCAATCTTTCTGGTCCGGACGGATGAGCGTACTGAGCATCATTTGAGCGGTTTGATGTGCTCACTCCGTTTGCCCGTCCGTTTGTGGGTGCGGAGCCGAACTCGGTTTCATTTCGGTGTTGGATTCCTTCATGAGTGATGTCTAAAATGTCGGAATGAATCGAGTATCGCGGCCGCTAACGATGTCTTCTGGAACGTCGTGGTTGAAATCCAGCCGGTGTCTAAGAGTCTAGCGAGCTCGGAAGCTGTCGCATGATACTTGCAAGGAAGAAACCGTGCGTATTTATCGGTCAACGACTGTGAGGATACCATCATGTCCGAGGCCATCTCGTGGGAAGGGTCTGGTGACATCCATGGCAATAGACAATCCGGGTTCCTTACTTACCGTACGGGTTGCCGTTGCGGGGCTTGTTGCGTCAACAAACCTCGCAAGATTCGGAATACCGTGTGACGCTTGTTGCATACTTCAATGAGTATGGGCAGAACCAAGGATCAACCAATGTAGGATGAGCATATATGCAGCGGAAGTCTGATAAACGGACTGACTCGCATAGACTGACTCACATAGCATCACTCCACACACATACAATCGTGAGATGGTGGGGTCTGGGCCATTCATAGACGATGCCCAGATCCCGTACACGCATTCACAGATGAAAGGTGGGAGGAGAGACGAAGGAGGTGGGAAGGTAGACAACACCGATAGATAGAGTCTGATAGGTCTCCGATATGGTAGTCCAAAATGTCATACAACAAGATCAAAATGTCGAGGCCCA